GTTGTAGCATGATTATCCTTTACTTAACAGCTAATATCCACTTATAAGTGAGTACATATCATGTTCGTCTTATTGGGTCTGGGTTACCTCACTCAGGATGATTTTTTTCAAGTTTGATTCATTTGCCTGCAAATTTCATGATTTTTTATAATAGCTAAGTAATACTCCATTGTGTAAACGTACCACATTTTCTTTATCCATTCTTCAGTTGAGGGGCATCTAGGTTGTTTCCAGATTCTGGCTATTACAAATAGTGCTGCTATGAACATGGTTGGGCATGTGTCCCTGTGGTATGATGTAGCATCCTTTGGGTATATGCTCAAGAGGGTGTAACTGGGTCTTGAGGTAGACTGATTCCCAATGTTCTGAGAAACCACTATATTGATATTGATTTCCAAAGTGGATGAACATGTTTGCACTCCCACTAGCAATGGAGTGGTGTTCCTCTTGTTCCACATCCTTGCCAGCATAAGCTGTCATTTACATTTTTGATCTTAGCCATTCTGACACGTGTAAGATGGTATCTCAGCGCCATTTTGGTATACATTTCCCTGATGGTTAAGGATGTTGCACATTTCTTTAAGTGTTTTTCAGCCATTTATGTTTCCTTTGTTGCTAATTTGTTGTTCAGATCTGTACCTCATTTTTTAATTGAATAATTTAGTTTGTTGATGTCTAGTTTCTTAAGTTCCTTATGTATTTCAGATGTTAGTTAGCGCTCTGTTAGATGTGGGGTTCCATTTATTTATCTAAGTGCCTATGCTACTGGTGTTCTGTTCAGGAAGTTGTCTCCTGTTCAATACATTCAAGGCTTTTCCCCACTTTCTCTTCTATTGGGTTCAGTGCTTTATGTTGAGATCTTTGATCCACTTGGACTTGAATTTTGTGCATGGTGATGGATAAGGATCTATTTGAATTCTTCTGTATGCTGACATCAACTTAGACTACCACCATTTGTTGAAGATGCATTCTTTTTTCCATTGTATATTTCTGGCTTCTTTATAAAAAATCAAATGTTGATAGGTGTCTGGATTTACCTGAGGGTCTTTGATTCAATTCTATTGGTTAATCTGCCTGCTTTTATGCCAATACCAAACAGTTTTTATTACATCATCTCTGTAGTACATCTTGACATCAGGGATGGTGATACTTCTGGAAGTTCTTTTATTGTACAGGATTGTGTTAGCTGGGTTTTTTATTTTTTCATATGAAGTTAAATATTGTTCAAGGTCTGTAAAGAACTGGAATTTTGATGAGGATTATTTTAATCTGTAGATTGCTTTTGGTAGGGTGGCTGTTTTTATCCCATGTTAATCCTATCCATAGGTGAGCATGAGAGATCTTTCCATTTTCTGATATCTTCTTCAAAGACTTGGAGTTGTCATACAAGTCTTTCATTTGCTTTGTTAGAGCTACCCTAAGTTATATTATCTGTGGCTATTGTGAAGGGTGTTGTTTTCCTGATTTCTTTCTCAGCCCATTTCATTTATTGTTTGTATACAGTAGGGCTATTGATTGTTTTGAGTTCATCTTGTATCCAGTCACTTCACTGAAGGGGCTTATTGGCTGTAGGAATTCCTTGATAGAATTCTTTGGGTTGCTTGTGTATACTATCATATTATCTGCAAATAGTGATACTTTTGTCTTTTCCTGTTCCTATTTGTATACCTTTGATCTCCTTTAGTTGCTCTATCAGATTTTCATATGTAGAACCATCCCTGTATCTCTAGGGTGAAGCCTTCTTGATCATGGTGGATGATTTTTTTGATGTGTTCTTGGATTCAGTTTGTGAGTCTTTTATTGAGTATTTTCACAGCAATGTTCATGAGGGAAATTGGTCTGTAATTATCTTTCTTTGTTGAATCTGTGTGGTTTGGTATCAGGGTGACTATGGCCTCATAAAATGAATTTGGCAAGCCTGGTGGAGGTGGCACACGCCTTTAATCCCAACACTCAGGAGGCAGACCAGGCAGATCTCTGTGAGTTGGAGGCCAGCCTGGTCTACTAGAGCGAGTTCTAGGACAGGCACCAAAACTACACAGAGAAACCCTGTCTCGAAAAACCAAAAAAAAAAAAAAAAAGGCAATGCTCCTTCTGTTTCTATTTTGTGGAATAATTTAAGAATGTTCCTTCTGTTTCTATTTTGAGGAATAATTTGAGAAGTATTGTTATTAGCTCTTCTTTAAAATTCTACTAGAATTTTGCATCAAAATTCCTGGCCCTCGGCTTTCTTTGGCTGGGAGACTTTTTTTAATTTTTTTTCTTTTTTCTATATTATTATTAAATTTTCTATTCATTTTACATACCAACCACAGATTCCCCCATCCTCCCTGCTCCCATTCCCCAGGCTTCCCGCCCTACCCACCCCCCATTTCCACCTCCTCCAAGGCAAGGTCTCCCCTGGGGAGTCAGCCCAGCCTGGTACATTCAGTTGAGGCAGGTCCAAGCCCCTCCTCCCTGCACCAAGACTGCGCAAAGTGTCTCAGCATAGGCACTGGGCTCCAAAAAGTCAGTTCATGCACCAGGGTTGGGTCCTGATCCCACTGCCTGCCTGGGGGCCCCCCTAAACAGTTCAAGCGAAACAACTGTCTCACCTATCCAGAGGTCCTAGTCCAGTACCTTGTGGTTATTTCAAGTTTTTTACTATTTGTTGAGATTTGCTTTCTGACCTAGCATGTTGTCAATTTTAGAGAAGGTTCCATGGGGTGCTGAGAAGACGGTGTATTCTTTTGTGTTTTGGTGAAATGTTCTATAGATATCTATTAAGTCTATTTGAGTCATAATGTCTGTTAGATCCCTTATTTCTCTGTTAAGCTTCTGACTGGCAGATCTGTCCATTGGTGAGAGAGGGGTTTTGAAGTCTCCCACTATTAATGTGTGGGGTTTGATGTGTGATTTAAGCTTTAGTAATGTTTCTTTTACAAATGTGGGCACAAATGTATTTGGGGCACAAATCTTCAGAATTGAGACTTCATATTGGTGGGGTTTCCATGTGATAAGTATCTAATGTCCTTCCCGATCTCTTTTGATTGATTTTAGTTTGAAGTCTATTTTATTAAGTATTAGGATAGCTACACCAGCTTGCTTCTTAAATCCATTTGATTGAAAAGTCTTTTCCCAGCCTTTTATTCTGAGGTAGCGTCTGTCATTAAAGTTGAGGTGTGTTTCTTGTATGCAGCAGAAGAATGGATCCTGTTTTTGTATCCATTCTGTCAGCCTGTGTCTTTTTGTAGGCAAATTGAGACCATTGATATTAATGGATATTAATGACCAGTGATTATTAATTCCTATTTTTTGTTGTTGGTAGTGTTGTATGTTTCTCTTCTTTGGTATTTGTTGGAGTGGGACTATCTATTGCCTGTGTTTTCATGGGTACATCTAAGTTCCTTAGGTTGGAATTTTTTCCTTATAGAGCTTTCTGTAGGGCTGGATTTGTGGATAGGTATTGTTTAAATCTGGTTTTATCATGGAATATTTTGTTTACTTCATCTATGGTGACTGAGAATTTTGCTGGATATAATAGTCTGGGTTGGCATCCATGGTCTCTTAGTGTCTGCATAATGTCTGTCCAGGACCTTCTCGCTTTCAGAGTCTCCACTGAGAAGTCAGGTATTATTCTGATGGGTCTGCCTTTATGTTACCTGGCCTTTTTCCTTTGCAGGTCTTAATACTTTACTTTATTCTGTATGTTTAGTGGTTTGATTATTATGTGGCGAGGGGACTTTATTTTTTGCATCCAGTCTATCTGGTGTTCTGTAAGCTTCTTGTATCTTCATAGGCATTTCCTTCTTTAGGTTGGGAAAGTTTTCTTCTGTGATTTTGTTGAATATATTTTCTGTGCCTTTGAGTTGGTATTCCTCTCCTTCTTCTATCCCTACTATTTTTAGGTTTGGTCTTTTCATGGTGTCCCAAATTTCCTGGATGTTTTGTGCTATGACCTTTTTTGGCTTTAGTGTTTTCTTTGACTGATGAATCTATTTCCTCTATCATATCTTCAATGCCAGAGATTCTCTCTTCCATCTCTTGTATTCTGTTGGTTATGCTTGCATCTGTAGTTCCTCTTCATTTACTCAGATTTTCCATTTCCAGCATTACCTCAGTTTGTGTCTTCTTTATTGCCTCTATCTCAGTTTTTAAATCTTCAACTGTTTCCTTCACCTGTTTAATTGCTTTTTCTTGGCTTTCTTTAAGGGGTTTATTGATTCCTTCCAATTTTTGTTTGTCTTTTCCTCAACTTCTTTATTGATTTCTTCCATTTTTTTTATTGTCTTTTCTTTGATTTAAGGGAATTTTCATTTCCTCTTTAAAGGCCTCCACCATCTTTTATTTTATTTTATTTTATTTTACAATACCATTCAGTTCTACATATCAGCCACAGGTTCCCCTATTCTCTCCCCTCCCACACCCTCCCCTTACCCCCAGCCTACCCCCCATTCCCACCTCCTCCAGGGCAAATCCTCCCCCGAGGACTGCCATCAACCTGGTAGACTCAGTCCAGGCAGGTCCAGTCCCTTCCTCCCAGACTGAGCCAAGTGGTCCTGCATAAGCTCCAGGTTTTAAACAGCCAACTCATGCAATGAGCACAGGACTTGGTCCCACTGCCTAGATGCCTCCCAAACAGATGAAGCCAATCAACTGTCTCACCTATTCAGAGGGCCTGATCCAGCTGGGAGCCCCTCAGCCTTTGGTTCATAGTTTATTCCACCATCTTCTTAAAGTCATTTTTAAGGTCAATTTCTTCTGTTTCTTCTGCATTGGGATGTTCAGGTCTTGCTGACGTAGAACCACTAGGTTCTGGTGGAGCCATATTGGTTTTTATGTTGTTGACCGTATTTTTGCACTGGCGTCTACCCATCTCTTCCTTCACTTGGTACAAGTGGTGTCTGTGTCTGAGGGAGCCTCTCTTGGTCCAATCGATACTCTTGGTCTAATTAGGGCTCTTGGTCCAATCAGTGCTGATGGACTCTATGTCTCAGGGAGCAGCTCTTAGTCCAGTTGGCGCTGGGAGGCTCTGTCTCAGGGAGCAGTTGCAGTCTCGGGGGGGGGGGGGGGTTGAAGGAGGTGGGGCTTGAGGGTTACAGGATCTAGTGGGGGATGGCTGTAATCCGTCTGTCTGCAGGAGACCTGCCTACTGGCCTGAGACAGCAATGGGTGGTGGTGTGGGGGCATAAGCCTTGAGGCTGGGGTATTTAGCTATAAAAACAAAGACTCACCTCTTAGTCCAATCGGCGCTAGCGGGCTCCCTCAGCATTTTATTAAACCCATTCCAGTGATAACTCTTTACAGTATACAAGAGCATTCCACAGCATTACAGATCTTTGTAATAGTTTTTATATGCTGTAAAAAGAAGTGTCTTTGATGAGGAGTGAGGTCTACATTTGTCTGTGTGTATATAGATAAATATTTCGAATGCAGTTAAATATTAAACTAGTTTAAGAAAGGGGCAGTAGTAGTTCCTCGAGGTTCATCAGCCCAGGGCAGTTGGCTAAGTCTGTAGAACCAGGCATGAAATCCCTTCTATTGAGCTGGCCTTAAGTCCAATTAGGTGGCATTCTGTTACCCCCAAGATATAAGTGCCACTAGTGCATCTTTGGGCACATCTTGCCATGCTGGCCATGGTACTTTGTAGGCTTTACATGTGGGGAGGACTTTCTCCCATGGCAGTTCTTGTGAGAGCCAGCCCTGGGGAAGAGGCTTTCAGGGCATCAAGCTCAGCTCCTCTAAGTCCTGGATCTGAAGTTTGCATTTTCTTCAGATCCCGAGATGCTACCAAGACAAACGGCAATATTTTATATGATTTGGGGAAGGGTGTTGCTTGGACTCCCCTGACTCACAACTCAAAAGGAGGGGAAACCAATCTTTTCAACACATCCCTCACTATGTGGTAACATTTCCCTTTTGCAGGAAGAGTGTCAATGCAAGTCTCCATTACCACAGAATGTGTAGTGAGTGGAGTTTCCTCTATTTAGAGAAAGTGCAGGGTCAGCAGAGTGTGACGGAAAATCTCTCCGCTTTCTTCATCATGGTATCTTCCCTGCAAAGTAAAGATGCAGTAACATCTTATTTGTAAACTATATACAAATACATAGGTGGTGACATGAATATACTATTTAAAAGCACAACTTAACTCCATCCTGGGAAGCAGGTCGGCTGACTGCAAACCTTCACATCTTCTTCTGATCCTCCAAATCAAATCCCCCAGTCTCATTCCCAGCTCTCTGGCAGAACACCTGCTGCACCCTCCTCCCCCCACACCCTCATCTCTGGTGGGTCACACAGATTTTCCCCTTATAACTGCCCTCCCCCCACTCATCGCTTGATCCCAGCCCCCAACTCCGGCAGGCACTCCCTGGGAACCCACAGGCCACTCTGACCAGGGAAGCAGGAAGGCTGACTGCAGATCTTCTCTCCTCCAAGGCCAATCCCCCAGTCCCATCCCCAGCTCTGTAGCAAACCACCTGCTGTGGCCTCTCCTCACTCTCTGCCCTCATTCCCAGGGGACTACTTAAGCAGATCCTGGTGGAACACCCTGCTTTCCCTAACTCCTGTGAACCCTCTCACCGACCGCAGCCCAACCCCATTCCTAAGTCTTAGGTACCAATACCCAGGAACACGTTTTACATGGAACCCTCGGTGCCCACACCTATCAGGACCCCGGAAGATTTTCCTAGCAGGCAACACAGAGACACCACATACTCCTAAAAACCAGAGAGGAAACAGAAACCAAGAAACAAAACATCCACCCAACAAAGACAAGACCAGATATCAACACCTAGAATTACAATCTTCCCAAACACAGATGCCAGGACACGAGTGTAAAAACACAATCAGTAACAGCCAGGACAATGTATCTGTCTCCACTAGAGCCCAGCAAGCCTACTTACCTAGCAAGAAATTAAACCTGAGGGAAAATTTGAAACTAAAAATTTAGGGATTCAAACAGGAACTACATAGGCAAGACTCACCAATACAATACAAGAGATAGAAGAGAGAATCTCAGGCATTGAAGATACAATAGAAGAAATGGATACATGAGTCAAAGAAAGTGCTGAATGTAAAAAATTCCTGAAACAAGATACACAGGAAATCTGGGACACTATGAAAATAAATCTAAAAATAATAGGAAAAGAGAAAAGAAAAGAAAGCCAGGTCAAAGGCACAGAAAATATTTCCAACAAAATCATGGAAGAAAACTTCCCTAACCTAAAGAAGGAGATGCCTCTCAAAGTTCAAGAAACTTAGAGAACACCAAATGCACTGGACCAGAAAAGAAAGTGCCCGCAACACGTAATACTCAAAACACTAAATGTACACAATAAAAGAAAGATTATTAAAAACCACAAGAGAAAAAGACCAAGTAACATATTTGGTAGACCTACTAGAATCACACCTGACTTCCCAAAGGAGACTCTAAAAGCCAGAAGGACCTGGATGGATGTGCTGCAGACTCTAGGAGACCACAGATGCCAGCCCAGACTACTATATCCAGAGAAACCTTCAACCACCATACATAGAGAAAATAACACTCCATGATAAAACCAAACTGAAGCAACTTCTGCCTAAAAATTCAGCCCTACAGAAGGTGCTAGAAGGAAAACTCCAACCTAAAGGGGTTAACTACATCTAAGAAAACAGGAAATAAATAATCCCAGACCAGCAATATCAAAAGAAAAGAAGTACACACACAAACACACCACCACCACCACCACCACCAACAACAACAACAACAACAACAAAGAAGAGAAATAAAATATCATTGGTCATTGATATGTCAGAATCAGTGGTCTCAATTCCCCAATAAAAAGTCAGACTGCCAGAATGGATCTGAAATCAGGAACCATCCTTCTGCTGTATCCAAGAAACACACCTTAACATCAAAGATAGACATGACCTCAGGGTAAAGACTGAGGAAACAATATTCCAAGCAAAAAGACCTAACAAGCAAGCTGGTGTAGCCATTTTAATATCTAACAAAATAGGCTTCAAACAAAAACTAATCAGAAGAGTTAGGGAAGGACACTACATACTCATCAAAGGAAAAATACACCAAAAGGACAATGCAATTCTTACCATCTATGAGACAAACAAGGGCACCCAAGTTTGTAAAAGAAATACTACTACAGCCTAGAGCACACATTGACCCTCACACAGTGAGAGTGGGAGACTTCAAAACCTGACTCTCATCAACAGAGAGGATATGCAGACAAAAAAATAAACAGAGAAATGCTGAAGCTAACAGACTTATAAACCAAATGGACCTAACAGATATTTACAGGACATTTTACCTAAACACAAAAGAATATAGCTTCTTCTTCAGACCTCATGGAACTATCTCCAAATTGACCACATATTCCAACCCAAAGCAAGTCTCAAGAGATATAAGAAAATCAAAATAACACCCTGCATCCCATATTTTGAAAGAAAATGGCTCCCAAAGCGTGTTGTGGGATAATCCTTTTGTACATTGTGAAGATGTGTCTTTGCCAAGGTACCTTCTGATTGGTTTAATAAAGAGCCAAATGGCCAATAGGTAGGCAGGAGAGAATAGGCGGGACAGCAACTTGGGGAATAATCTGAGGTGCGTGGATTTCACCAGCCAGACATGGAGGGAGTTGGATGTAGAGAATGCAGATGAGATAACGAGAACATAGATTAATAGAAATGGATTAACTTAAGGTATGACAGCTGGTTGGAAACAAGCCTAAGCTAAGGCCCAGCTTTCATAAATAATAATAAGTCTCAGTGTCATTATTTGGGGACTGGTGGTAAAAAGAAAGTCCAACTACAAAAGGGAGTGGCACTATTAGGAGGTGTGGCCTTGTTGGAGAAAATGTGTCACTGTGGGGGCGGGCTTCGAGGTCTCCTTTGCTCAACTTCACTCATGTAATATATAGACCACTACCTCCTGTTGCCTGCAAGATGTAGGACTCTCAGCTACTTCTCCAGCATCATGTCTACCTGCACACAGCCATGTTTCACCATGATGGTAATTCATTAATTTTATAAGGCCATGGTTACTCAGATACCCAAACCACATAAAGACCCCAAAAAACAAATTTACAGAACTATTTCACTTATGGCCATAGACACAAAAATACTAAAAAAATACTTGGAAACAGAATCCAAGAACACATCAAGAAGATCATACACCATCATCATGTAGGCTGCATCCCAGAGATGCAGGCATGGTTCAACATATGTAAATTGATAAATGTAATCCAGCATATAAACAAAGTGAAAAACAAAAATCACATGATCATCTCATTAGATTCAGAAAAGGCCTTTGACAAAATCAAACACCCCTTCATGATAAAAGTCATGGAGAGATTAGAGATACAGGGAATCCTCAACATAATAAAGGCAATTTACAGCAAGCCTACTGCCCACATCAAATTAAACGGTAAGAAACTCAAAGCAATTCCACTAAAATCAGGAACAAGACAGGCTGTCCACTCTCTCCATATCTAATCAATAGAGTACCTAAAGTCTTAGCTAGAGCAACAAGACAACTGAAGGAGATCAAGAGGGTACAAACTGGAAAGGAAGAAGTCAAAGTACCTTTATTTGCAGATGATATGATAGTATACATAAGTGACCCTAAAAATTCCATCAGGAAACACGGTTGATAACCACTTTCAGCAAAGTAGCTGGATACAAAATTAATTAAAAAATGATTAACCCTCTGAAATATACAAATGACAAACAGACTGAGAATGCTAACAGGGAAAGACCACCTTTCACAATAGCCTCAGATAATATAAAATATCTTGGGGTATCTCTAACCTAGCAAGTGAAACACTTCTATGATTAAAAACTTCAAGTCATTGAAGAAATTGAAGGTATCATAATATGGAAAGATCTCCAATGCTCATGGAGTGGTAGAATTAATAGTAAAAATGGCCATCCTACCAAAAACAATCTATAGATTCAGGAAAATTCACATCAAAGTTACAACACAATTATTCACAGATCTTGAAAGAAAATTTTCAGCTTCATATGGAAACACAAAAACCCGGTATAGCTAAAATAATCCTGAACAATAAAAGAACTGCTGGAAGCCGGGTGGTGGTGCACGCCTTTAATCCCAGAACTCAGGAGGCAGAGCCAGGCAGATCTCTGTGAGATTGAGGCAAGCCTGGGCTACAGAGTTCCAGGACAGCCAAGACTACAGAGAAACTTTGTCTCGAAAAACAAACAAACAAACAAACAAACAAGCAAAAGAACTGCTGGAGGTTTCACCATCTCTGATTTCAAGTTGTACTACAGAGGTATAGTAATAAAAACAGCATGCTATTGGCACAAAGACCGACATGAATTCGAATTGAAGACCCAGGCATAAATACACACACACACACACACACACACACACACACACACACACACACACGTATATGTATACCTGATTTTTTATAATCAATCCAGAAATACACTCTCAAAAAAACACAGCATCTTCAACAAATGGTGATAGTCAACCTGTATGTCTGAATGTAAAAGAATCCAAATAGATCAATACTCACCACCCTGCACAAAACTCAAGTCTAAGAGTTTGCAAAGAACTCAACATAAAACCACTTATGGTGAACCTGACAGAACAGAAAGTGGGGGATAGCCTCGAACTCATTCACACAGGAAAAGACTTTCTGAACGGACCACCATTAGCCCAGGCACTAAGATTAATGATTAGTCATGGGACCTCATGAAACTGAGAAGCTTCTGTATGGCCAAAGCAGCATCCTATAGAATGGGAAAAGATTTTCACCAATGTCACATCCAATAATATATAAAGAATTCGAGAAACCAGGTATCATGAAAACAAATAACCCAAGTTAAAAATGGGGTATAGATCTAAACAGAATTTTAATAGAGGAATCTCAAAATGCTAAGAAGCACTTAAGAAATGTTCAACATCCTCAGCAGGGAAATGCAAATCAAAAATACTCTGAGATTTCATGTGTCAGAATGGCTAAGATCAACACAACATGTGACTGTTCATGCTGACAAGGATGTGGAGTAAGGGGAGCATTCATTCATTCC